AGATGACATGATTCAACCTTTTTTGTTGTTATATACCTGGATGACTGAGAAAACAAACTTTGTGTTTTTGAAACCATTAGTGAAAAGGCCAGACTTCAGGGGTATCTGAGGCAGGCTTGGAACACAAGAGTCAGGGTGGCTTCTGGGTAATACCAGATGGCTAGGCCTCAGACTGACGAAGCCTCTTGGATGAGGGGCGAAACGTTTCTTTTTAACAAAAAACGAAGTCCAGATGACATGATTCAACCTTTTTTTGTTGTTATATACCTGGATGACTGAGAAAACAAACTTTGTGTTTACCAAACAGTATGTTATGAACAGTAGATAAATGTTAAAACCAGCTAAAAGCTAAATAGGATGCATGTAAGATTTTAATACCAAAGTTTTCCAGGGATAGATCAAATTCCAGTTTATTTCTATAAAAACAATTGTAAATAAATTAAAACAATTCTGAAAGTATAAAAACAGCTAAAAACAAAAGTCATCGTTGTGATGACAAACGAGCTGAACGCTTTGATACATTATTGGATAACATAGCTGAAACCATGCTGAAGTAGTTAGCATCCAGAAGAAATCAATGTGTGAAATTTGACTCAGCTTTCATACAACTACGGCTTGGAGTTGTTTTTTAGAGTGGTCGAAATGGGCTTTTAATTATTCCTATTTAGTTTTTGGTATTTGATTTTTTTGTTTGTTTAAAAGCAAAAGGAAACATGGGTAGGAAACTATGCAGTACAGTTTCAATTAATTAGTGCAACACATTTTTTTAAAATATATTTTTGCGTCTCTCCGCCAAGCTTTCATCCCTCTGCTAGCCAACATAACTGGTTTGTTCTACTTTGGAGTAAGCTGTTTGGGGGAAGAACCAGTTTTTGTTGTGTGTGTTTCCTTGACTGATGAAGCCTTCTGGATGGAAGGTGAAACGTTTCAGCACACAAAAAAAATAAACTGTCCAGATGACCTGACTGAAAATTGTTGAATTGTATACCTGGATTATTGAGCATGGACTTTGTTGGTTTTCAGAGATACTCTTACATTTATCAAGTTGACTGGAAAAACGGTTATTCTTTGAAGCGCATCTAAACGTTGAACAGTATTCTTTGGACCAAGTGCTTCATCTTTATTTTTAACTGAAAGTCATACATTTTTGTAAAAAAAACAAAAAAAAAACTTTTATTTTTATGTTCTACCATCAAATAATTTTAAATCGAATGCTTTTCCTTTTTCCTTTTCAAAGTGATCTTCATCTGAAGCCAGGCAAAGCATTTGTGTGTTCCTGTTTGGAGAGGGAAGGCTTTTGAGCTGACGTCCATGGAGACCATCCTTGCCTGTCTTGAGATGCTCATACTTGATTTTCTCAGTTTGATTACACTCAAAGCACATCAGCAGTGCTGCGTCCCAGAGGAGATGTGCAAGATGCTTGTTAGCAATCATAAGAGGAGCAGGCAGGCTTAAGGGGTGGGGGGGGGGGGGGGGGGACAAATGCTATTATTAAGAAAGGTTAGGGATCTTCTTGGACATAACTGACAGACAAACTGTATGCAGAAAGGCAAAGTTGAATCTGAAACTTCCTTGCTGCAATGAGACAGTGCTAACCATCTGTGTCAGCATGCAGCTCTAAAAAACTTAATTCAATTGAAATCTGTTGAATAAATTAAAAATGGTCCCCTATAAAAGAGCTGAGAGAGGTCTTTGAAGTATTTCACAGTTATGGATGGATGGATGGATGGATGGATGGATGGATGGATGGATGGATG